CCTTAGCATGTTTCGTGGCCCCGCAGTGAGCCCCACCGAAGGCCCAAATGCCAGCGTTCGTATGCGCCCACCGAATAGATTTTGGCACACCCCTCACACGGTTCGTGGCCCCATAGGGAGCCCCACCGAAAGCCCAGATGGTAGCGTTCGCATGCGCCCACCGCACCCATGTTGGCACGCCCCTTGCACGTCTCGTGGCCCCATAGGGAGCCCCACCGAAGGCCCAAATGCCAGCGTTCGCATGCGCCCACCGCACCCATTTCGGCACACCTCTCACACGCTTCGTAACTCCATAACGAGCCCCACCGAAGCGCGCCCATTTTGGCACGCCCCTCGCACGTTTCGTGGCCCTACGGGGAGCCCCACCGAAGGACGCGCCTACCCCACCCATTTCGGCACGTTCCTCATTCGTCTCGTGCCCTTACAGGGAGCCCCCCCGAAGGCTCACATGTCAGCGTTCGCACGCGCCTACCTCACGCATTGCGGCACGCCCCTTACACGCTTCGTGGCCCCAAAGGGAGCCCCACCGAAGGCCCAAACGCCAGCGTTCGCATGCGCCCACCACACCCTTCACACGTTTCGTGGCGTTACAGGGAGCCCCACCGAAGGCCCAAATGCCAGCGTTCGTTTTTACCACCGCATCCATTTTGGCACACTCCTCACACGTTTGGTAGCCCCATAGGGAGCCCCACCGAATGCGGAGCATACAACGGCTGTGCCCACAACTGCATCTTTTTGGTTTCTTCGCCTGGCTAATTTTTAAAGAACTGGGCCCGCGGGCCGCTATGGCGACGCCGTGCTCGCCGTCGCCGCCCCGTCACCTCCTCGTCGCCGCCCGTCGTTTGGGCCTGCGGACCAGTCTGGCGGCTCCGTACTCGCCGTCGCCGCCCCGTCGCCTCTACATATGAGTTCATCTCATTCCAGTTGCTCCGGCATCCTTCTCGTCAATTCTTGGGAAAACATGCACTGCGCGCACATTCGTTTTCCACATTCATCAGTCTTCAAGACCCTGCAAACAAATGTCACGAAATGCACACCCGCGCGTCGTCGCGCGCGTGCCGCAATCTTCACAAGTAGTTGCAAGCTTCGGACGGAATTCAAAACCGGTTGTCACGATTGCAAATACAATCACATGGTTTCGCAAACCAGATTTTCAGACAGAAATGCGCTCGAGCTTCTGCAGAATCTCAAGAAGCCATCGACGTTTCAACACGTTCAGAAACAAGCTACCACATGTGTCGCGCGCGTATCGAAATGGTTCGAACGCCCTTGCGCGCGTGCTGTCGCAAGAATCCTTTACAAAAGCGAGACGAAGTGCACGCTCGCGCGTCGTCTCGCGCACAGCCGAAATCGCTCAAAAACGACAGGTTTCGTATGGATGTCAAAATCAACCCCGAAAACATGTGCAAACGCATGGTTTTGCAACATCACCTTTCGAGAAACGCTCTTGCGAATTCTCAGGAAAACCATCGTTTCGTCAACCTTGTCATCAAGTTCTGCCAAACGGACCTCTCGCGCCGCATGTCGAACTCATCCGAACGCCCTTGCGCGCGTGCTGGGGGGGGGGGGGGCGCGATCCGCGCCGAAAAACACCGCGCGGGTCACTCGCGCGCGTCGGCCGCGCGCGCGTCGAACTGTTTCGAAGACCTTCATCTCCGACGCGAGGACATCGTCATCCAGGTCGTCGGGCGCGATCAACGTCGGCGCTGTCATTGGCCTTGCCGTCGTCATCGCCACCATCGCCACCATCATCGCTACTCTCATCCTCGCGTCTATCCTTGCCGGCGTTGCCATGATACCGCGCCCGCCCAAGTCGCCGACTCGTGCTGACGTGCCCGCTGGGAAGTGCCCGGCGGTCAGCGCCACCGCGGCCGCGTCGGCCGCGCCGCACTAGCTGGCCGCTGCGCGCGCGAGCACGCGCGGGCTTGCGCGGCCACGAGAACCAGCCAACGCCAAGCACTCATCGCAATCGCCGTCGCAAGGATTTGTTTCCCAACCATCTTGTGGTGTTGGGTCACCGTTTTGAAGAGACAGTGCCCCGCGTTCCGCCCCTTCCTTCCTCGTCCTGTTCGTCCTCATCCTCGTCCTCGTCCTCGTCCTCCTCCTGCTCCTCCTCCTCCTCCTCCTCCTCCTCCTCCTCCTTCTCCTCATCCTCCTCCTCCTCCTCCTCCTGATCGTCCTCGTCCTCGTCCTCCTCCTCCCCCTCCTCCTCCTCCTCCTCCTCCTCCTCCTCCTCCTCCTCCTCCTCCTCTCCCCTCGTCCTCCGCCCCCTGCCGCTGCCCTCCGAAACAGTCATCCATTTGGGCACGCCCCTCGCACGCTTCGCGGCTGCGTGGCCCCATGGGGAGACCCACCGATGGCCAGCGCGTCCGCGTTCGCACGCGCCCGCCGCGCCCATTATATTTTGGCACCCCCCTCACGCTTCGCGGCCCCATAGGGAGCCCCACCGACGGCCCAAATGCCAGCGTTCGCATGCGCCCACCGCACCCACTTTGGCACACGCCCCCCACACGTCTCGCGGCCCCATAGGGAGCCCCACCGACGGCCCAAATGCCAGCGTACGCAAGAGCCCACCGCACCAATTTTGGCACGCCCCTTTCGCGCGTTGCGGTGCCGCGCAGGGAGCTCCACCGAAGGCCCAAATGCCAGCGTTCGCACGCGGCCACCGCGCTCATTTTGGGACGCCCCCCACGCTTCGCGGCCCCAGAGGGAGCCCCACCGAAGGCCCAAATGCAAGCGTTCGCATAGACCCACCGCACCCAGTGCGGCACGTTCCTCACGCGTTTCGCGGCCCCGTAAGGGGGCCCCACAGGCGTCCCAACTGCCGGCGTTCGCATGCGCCCACCGCATCCATATTGGCGCACCCTTTGCACGTTTTGCGGCCCCGCAGGGAGCCCCACCGAAGGCCCAAATGCCAGCGTTCGCATGCGCCCACCGAACAGATTTTGGCACGCGCCTCACACGCTTCACGGCCCCATAGGGAGTCCCGCCGAAGGGCAGCTATATGCAAGAAGGCATCCGACATCCGGCGAAATGCTGTTTCAGTTGGAGCGCTTGCCCCCCGATTCCCAGACATGCTCGCGTCGGAACAAAAATCAAGACGGAAGGTTTTTCGTCGTTTTCGGCCGCTGGGGGCCCTGAACGGGCCCTGGAAGTCAAATCACGACTCAGGATGAAAAACCAGTCCTGGGCACATCGTAACAATGTGGTCAACATGTCTACCATGTCTCGTTAAGATCGGCCAGGGCATTTGTAAGTTATAGAGCGGACACGAAATTAGTGTGAAACGTTACAAGAAAGGGTAACAACTTAAAAAATATCAATAACGTATGGAGACTATCAATAACTTATAGGGCCACAACTTTAAAAGTTACAAAAAGGGCAATAACTTAAAACGTAGCAATAACGTATTGACAATCTCAGGACGTCGCACGTCTGGGGTCTGGCCCTCGGGCCCCAAGGCCCCCTGGGGCCGTCACGGGGCCAGCAGAAGAAAGCCCGGGCATGTAAAGTGCATACACCCTAGGCGATGCTTAAGAAAACTTGAGTTTTCGGCCAGAGTCTCGATTATTCTTAATGTTTTAATGTAAATCCTATGCTTATACTCGAAGTTCTGGGTTTTTGTTCAAAGTCTGAGACTCTGAATTTCTTAACCCATGATTTCTAAAGCATTTCGCAGGGTGTAGGGGGCAAGGGGTTTTGCAAAAAAAACGAGGATAGCAAAAAAGAAACAACAAATCGAAGGATTGCAAAAAAACCTAGGATCGCAAAAAAAAACCCGAAGGATTGCAAAACACCCAGGGTTTTTTTTGCAATCCTTCGTTCAGGTTTTTTTGCAATCCTTCGTTTTTTTGCAATCCTTCGTTGTTTGCAATCCTTCGAGGAGGCCTCGCGGGCCCATGGGTTGAAGCCACCCCGAGGGGCCCCCGAGAGGCTCCAAGAGACTTGGGAGGAGAGCTGCGCCACGCTTTGGCCCCCCAAGGTGCCCCTTTTGTGGCCGTAGGGGCGTCTGGCCTGGAAGGTTAGCAGAAGGAGGAAGGGAGTCGAGCCTTCCCCGCCCGATGTTTCCCAGGCCGAGCCAGGGCCTTCTCGCCAGCTTAGATCACACTGGTGATCTTAGCGGCTGATCACAGTGTCGGCACGCCAAGACACTAGTACATGGGGCGGATCGACGGATCGATGCACTTGCGCACTTGCTCCGAGGGAGGCGGGAAGTTTCGTCCGCAGATGGCCAAACAATGACCCTAACGGCTACGATCTGCCGATCCTAGTGAGCTATATGTCGATGGACAGATACTGCGGCTAAGATCACAGGACTAAAGTGGATTATCTTCGAGAGCGAAGACCCAGTAATCCGATCTAAGAAAACCCTGCCCTGACAGTCCGTCTGGTGTCTGGGCTGGCTGCGCCCGTCGGTCGAAGCTGACCGCCTTCCTGCCTGGCGCAGCCCCATGCCTTGCATGGGTGGTCCGTTCTCGCAGTGGGCCTGCAGATTTCTTCGAAGAGCAGAAAATACATAGACGTTAAACTGATATTGATTTTTGATTTTTATCCTCTGGCGCGTAACCAACGGTCGATGCCCGGCCCCCTCCCATGGGTAATGGTAACGAGCGCACGTAAAGGGGGGAGCTTGGACCCCCCCCCTCCACATGCTGGTGCTCGCGCGCGTACTACGGCGATCGCAGCGCACCCACGACCCGACGTGCCCCACCCCGCCCAAGCGTTACCACTACCCAGGGCGCCCCCCCCTTCCTCCCAGATTGACCGTTATCAGGAAAAATCTCATTGTCGAAGGTCCTTGCAGATTTCTTCTGCCGGCGCTGGACCCCCCTGGCGGCGTCTCCGCCGCCGCCCACGGCGCGCTTCGCGCGCCAAGGGGGCGTGTCCGGCGTCGACCCACGAGATATCTCCGCAGACCTCAGGTCAATTATGCTGATGTCGTCTTTTGACCCTCTGTTCCCGGACCCTCGACTCAGCACCCCAGCGCAAGCCCCCGGCAGGACCACCAGAGCGAGAGGTCAGGCCGGGATGTATTGGCGGATCTTCTTGAGAATCCCGAGTCGAGCTTCGCAGCGCGGGCCATTCACTATTTCCTGATCGTCGCGATTCTGGCAAGCACTCTTGCTGTCATTGTTGAGACCCTGCCCACATTTCGTATGGACCCGCTGTTCTTCGCAGGGGAAATGGTTGTTACTGCAATATTCACGATCGAGTTTGCTTTGCGCCTCTACACCTGCAAAAGTCTCCGCGAGTTTGCTACCAATATCTTCAACGTTATAGATTTTCTGGCAACGTTTCCAGGCTACGTGGAGCTGTTGCTCGTGATGTCGTACGCCACTGGTGAGGGACACGTGGCTGAGCACCCAAGGCACATGCAGCACGTGCACAAGGCGGCGAGTTCCATGCGCACGCTGCGCATGATTCGTATCGTGAGGCTTGCCCGAGTCTTCCGCGTAATGAGGATCGCCAAGGTTGCAAGGCACTCCAAGCTGCTGAGCATCATCGTCGCGGTTTTCATCAGGGTGTCTCAGTCCGGCCTGCTCATGGTCCTCATCCTCATGGGCTTCGCGATGGTCCTTAGCGCCTCACTGGTCTAGCAGCCGTGCCTTCCGGCTTGCCGCCGGCGCCCATGCATTCTGACCTCCTTGCGCTTCGTCTGGGCACGAAAGTGAGGAACGCACGATTCTATACCAGGAAGCTGCATACACACATGGGACGATCCAGACATGGTCTCTCCTTCGAGGGATCGAAGGAGTTGACAGTTCTTCCTCGGCGGAGGCTGGCGGAAGTGAAAAGAGGGCGTTGTCGCATAGGAAGGCAGCCCGCCTCGCGGTCGGTGGCGCCGCGATAGACCCAGGCAGCATGCGGGACAGCCTCTACAGGTACCGCCTAACGCAACGGGAGGCGCCTTTCATCGCGGAGCACGGGCTGTGGAGGCCGACGAACGCATCGCGACCGCGGGCGCCGCGCCGTGCGCGGCTCTGATCGAGCGCGATGTCAGGGCGACTGATCGATCTGCCCCGGATAATCTCCGCCCCACGTCGCCCCGCTTCCTTGCGCGCCCCCGCCGCTTTCACGGGCTGTGAGAGCGAGGCGAATGACGCAAAGAGGGCCCACAACGTTTCGAAAGTTTCCCAACCTGCCAGATGGGGTCGTTGTGTTTTCGAACCAGTAGTATTAGAAGCAGTGGCAATAAGTCAAAGATGGTCTGCCTATCCTGATGAACCGCGTGGATTGACCCACGTGCATTGCACAAGATATCTGAGGTTGGGGGGTGAGATCGCAGTGGAAGGGAGACCCCCAACGCGGAAGTCGTTTCGTTTCGTTCGTGTCGTGCGTGCGGGCGAGGCGAAGCTGCGTGGGCGCGCGAGGGGAATGAACCCGCCGCTGCTAGTGCGAAGTTAAGACCAATGTTGCTCCCCCGTCCGCCCGTCCGTCCGTCTGGCGGTGGCCCTGGTGTCCCGTGGTGTCCCGTGGTGTCCGCCGTTGCTCGGGCGAAGTCAAGACCAATGGTTCTCCCCCGTCCGTCCGTCCGTCCGGCGGTGGCTCGCGGTGTCCCGCGGTGTCCCGTGGTGTCCCGTGGTGTCCCGTGGTGTCCGCCGTTGCTAGGGCGAAGTCAAGACCAATGATTCTCCCCCGTCCGTCCGTCCGTCTGGCGGTGGCTCGCGGTGTTCCGTGGTGTCCCGTGGTGTCCCGTGGTGTCCGCCGTTGCTAGGGCGAAGTCAAGACAAATGTTGCTCCCCCGCCCGTCCGTCCGTCCGTCCGGCGGTGGCTCGCGGTGTCCCGTGGTGTCCCGTGGTGTCCCGTTGAGTGAGATCGATAGTGAGATCGATACTGAGATCGATGTGGTGCCCCGAGGTGTCCCGTGGTGTCCCGTGGTGTCCCAAAAAGTGAGATCGATAGTGAGATCGACAGGTGTCCCGTGGTGTCCCGTGGTGTCCCGCTGAGTGAGATCGATAGTGAGATCGATACTGAGATCGATGTGGTGCCCCGAGGTGTCCCGTGGTGTCCCAAAAAGTGAGATCGATAGTGAGATCGATTGTAAGATCGACAGGTGTCCCGTGGTGTCCTATGGTGTCCCGTTGAGTGAGATCGATAGTGAGATCGTTAGTGAGATCGAGAGGTGTCCCGCGGTGTCCCGTGGTTGCCCGTGGTGCCCGTGGTGTCCCGTTGAGTGAGATCGATAGTGAGATCGACAAGTGTCCCGTGGTTGCCCGTGGTGTCCCGTTGAGTGAGATCGGTAGTGAGATCGATTGAGTCAGATGTTGGTTCCCCACCCCCTCCCCCACAACCTCCTTATCACCCGAAGGGTAATCGTATAGGTATTGCAGCACATAGACAGCGCAGCATATATTGCACTACAGATCACACAGCATAAGTTGCACCGCGCGTATGTTCTCCTTTCCAAGAAATATTAGCATCTACCCCCCCCAAGGTTCGTATTGCAATTTATGTACGATTCTGCCCCATCGTCCATCTTGGTTTTGAATAGACATGCCAGGCCGGAGTTCGTCCCCCCTTCACCTTCTGAACAAATTCTATGCGCGCGCACTCGATGATCAACAACCATCATTTTCCATGGATCTTGCCAGAGATGAGACGACTTGTACACGCGCGCGTCGTCGCGTGCGCATGCCGGAATCTTTCAAGAATCGGAGGTTTCACACGGATTTCGAAATCCCGGAAGCATATAAACACACACTGTTTCGCAACAAGGGTTTCCCAAAAAGCCTGCGCCCGCGCTCTTGCGAATTCGCAAAAAAATCATAGGCTCTTCAACATGTTCATAAACATGCTACCAGACGGGCCCTTCGCGCGCGCATGTCGAAATCGTTCGAACGCCCCTGCGCGCGTGCTGTCGCAAGGAGCCTTTGCAAAAGCTGGGACGACCGGCGCACGCGCGCGTCGTCGCGCGCATGCCGAATTCTTTCAACAAAGCTTGGGCTTCGTAAGGATCTCAAAATCGAGTGCCCCGAAACACACACACACACACACACGCACACATACACATACACACACAAAACATGGGTTTGCAGCAACAGTTGTCCCCCAAAAAACTGCGCTCGTCTTGCGGATTCTGAAGCAAGCCATGGGGTTTTCAACATGCTCATCACATTCTGCCGAACAGGCCTCTCGCGCCGCATTTCGAAGATCACTACGGCTTCTTCGGTGCCCACTGCAGTACTGACGGGGGAGCGCCCCCCCCCGCCGCCGCCATTTTGAACTGATTTTGGCCGGCGAGCCCGCCGCCATTTTGTTGTTGCCTAGTTGCGATTACGGTTGCGCCCGCGGGCGGGTTGAAATGTTTCGTTTGGTTGGGAATTGAAACATATCGCACTTCCGCGTCACGCTGTGCGCCTTTTTAATAGAATTGCTAATATTTCTCGGGAGAGTCCCACGCCCGCCTAAGATATTCTGTGTTGTTATGTTCGTTGTAGTTGTTTTCAACGGATTGCAAAACGCAGCCCGCCTGAATAATTCCGCACTGGTCACAAGACGATTCGCCGCCAAATGTTCACGGGGAGTTCCAACTTATTTGAATTCGTTGGTTCGCCTTGCCGCCGTTTCTTTCGATACGTCAGTTACTGTTTCAGGTTTTTCTCCGCCGCCCGTTTTTTTTCTGAAATGGAGTATGTTGGATTGCTTCCAGTGTGATTTTCGAAGTCATTCCAACGCCCATGCGCGCGTGCCGGGGGGGGGGCACGATCCGCGTCAAATAATTCCACGCGGGCCACTCGCGCGCGTCGGCCGTTCAAACCTTTTCAAAAACCTTCATCGTCGACGCGAGGACATCGTCATTGTTAGCGGCGGGCGTGATCAACATCGGCGCCGCCATTGGCCTTGCCATCGTCACCTTCACCGTCGCCACCATCCTCGCTACTCTCATACTCGTGTCCACCGTTGTCTGCGTCGCCATGATACCGCGCCCGTCCAAGTCACCGACTCGCATCGAAGTGCCTGTTGGAAACTGCCCAGCGGTCAGCGCCACCGCGGCCGCGTCAGTCGCGCCAAACTAGCTGGCCGTTGTGCACGCGAGCATGCGCGGGCTAGCGCGGCCGCTGAGATGCACCAGCCAACGCCAAGCACTCATCGCAATCGCCGCCACATGGGCTTTGCAAACCAAGTTGCGGGTGGGTGAGTGGGATGTCGGCAAGAGCATGGAATGTGTCAACTCGTTTGTAACAATCAATTGTACAGCATAGAGAGCACCACAGAGACTGCACAACTAATATTGCTAGAAGCACACTGTTTGAGGTCCACGATACCGAGTGGGCATAACGAAAAGGGATGGGGGAGGAGGAGGAGGAGGAGGAGGAGGAGGAGGGGGAGGGGGACGGGGAGGGGGAAGAGGAGGAGGAGGAGCAGCAAGGCAGCTGGCCAGGACAGCCTTTTGCGTGGTGGGTAGGAAGGTGCCACTGCCTCGCCCACTGTGTTTTTGTGCGAGCTCCTGTGGGAACAATTTTTTCTCTGTCCACCGCCCCTCCTCACGTTTCACGAACCGCTGTCCTGCCCCCTTGTGGGCGCCAGTCGCATCTCGTGGGTGCCCGACCTGTGGCGGAGATGCTTGGCAAGGGAAGTGGTCAGCCCGCGCTCCCTGGCAAGGGCGCGGCGATGGTGGACGCCCCAGCGCGCCCAGGTCTTCAGCTCGCAGGACATCCGAGACTTCGAGACTGCTCCCACTTTCCCCTTTCAAGAATGTGCTGGACCCGTGCATCGTGATGCTAGCCGTCGTGGCGAAGATGATGGTCGTGGCAGCCACAGCCCTCGTACACGAAGTGGTGGGAACGAGATGGTCGACATATCGACGCCTCCGGCAACGCCGCGGGACCATGCTCCTATTGATTATTGTTTTGCTGGTCTGCGAGACGAGTTCCAATCTTTCAAGGGTCAGGTCGACGGCAGCCTCAAGCACGTGCTCGACAGTATCTCGGCAGTTGCAGACGGAGTATCCTCAAACATGGCAAGTATCAACCAATGTATGGCCTCTCCCAAGGCAGCCCTGTCCAGATCATACACCGAGCTCCACAAGCACATGGAGACCAGGATCAACATTGTGGAGCACACTCAGAGAACGCAGGATACCCGTCTGTCGCAGGTGGAGAAAGTGATGCGTGAGCTGCGGGCTGAGCTCGGCATCATCAGGAAAGACCCTCCGCCGCTCAAACAGTTCGAGCCATCCAATGCGAATCTCGACAGAAACATTGTTGCAAGTATCGTGGTGGTACGATCTAAAGAATTGGTTACTGCGACAGCCGTCTCAGAATATGTTCGAGGGTGGTTGGAAGATTCCCAAAAAAAAACAAGCAACGAGTGGGTCGTGCAGGGCGAACCCACGAGCAATAAGTACGTGATCAGGTTCAACGGTACGGAGGTGCTTGCGTCCAAGCGCGTGGCACAGGCCCTCGGGAATCTCAAGATCCCACGCCCTGGTGGAGGCGCGGGCCACATGTGCCGAGAGTTCAAGATCAAGTCCACGACGGGTGAGCAGACGAACATCTTCGTCGGACCCGACAAGAGCATGTGCACCATCCGCCGCACGGCGGCTTGCAGGTCCATTCGTCGTGCTCTTCAAGAAGCGCGTTCTGGGCGTCGCTTT